GTTGTTGTTTAGCTAGCTGGGGCTGGGTTTGAACCCGCCACCCTAGGTGTATGTGGCTGGTGCTGTAACCACTGTGCTACAGGCCCCGCTCCTAACTGACCTGAAAACAAAGCAGTTAGTTGAAGGGCCACTTTATACAAAAGAACTGGTGAGTGATCTGGGACCTAATTCGTCCCCAAGTCAGGAGACATGTGGATTTGAATGAACCCTGTGATCATGACTGTGGGTAGGGAGAGAGTGTCTTCTTTCAGGCTGGGGCTTCATAGGATCCTAAAGGGAAAAAAAGACTCCTTGCCTTTAAATCCCTTCCACTCCAAGATGCCTGCAGTACTTTTCCACCCTGTTACAACCTTCCCATTCCTACTTGTCGTCCTCACCTGTGTCCTCAGCCTATTTTTCTATCCAAGGTCAATCAGGGTCATCTAGCATTTCTCTGTGCAATTCTGAAAAGGCTTCTTGGCCTGCTGAAATGCTAGGGAGGCTGCTCCTGCCCTCTGCCATGCACTGGAGAAGGAGCCATTCACTGCTCACTCCTTTATTGAACCCCTACTATGTGCTGGGCACAGGGGTACAGCATATGTGAGTCTTGCCCCTGCTGTACAGTCAGATGAGGGCTCTGAGAGCAAGGGGGCAGGGACACTCCAGCTCGAGGGTGAGAACCGTGCATTCATGCACAACTGCTGCTTGACACTGACCGTCCTGGAAAAAGCTCAGCAAATTCAGTTCGGGGCTGGTGTGAAATGCCAGAAGACACACAGAGAAGGGATCTGGCCTGCCGGCTGGTCAGCTATAACATCCTGGTAGGGAGAAGTGCATAGTAGAAGCTCTCACTCTGAACCACGGTCCTCATCCTCTCTGCCTGGGGAGAGTTTGGTACATGGACAGTGGTTAGGAGAGTCCTGTCTGCCTCCTCCACCCTTGGAGTCTTCCCTGATCACCCAAGTGAAGGCCACCCATCTCCCCAGCCCCTATTTTTCCTGTCTGGACATACCTAGGGCAATGGAATTACAGGTTTATCTACTCTGTCTTCCAATATTCGATCACTAACACCTCCAGAGCATGGGCAGAACCAATCCACAGCTATCCTCTCTAACAGAAGGGAAGGGTATACCAAAGTCCCAAAGCCCTTCTGGAGACATGAGAAGTGCTGTGAACTAGGAAACAGGAGGCATAGCTTTAAGTCCTGGCTCTGTTATCAGCTTACTGTGTGACTTTGGGCAAGTAGCTTTCCATCTCTGATGAATGACAACTTCTAAGCTCCCTGCCCTCACCACGCATGGAGGGACATTTATTCCTATTTGGTATTGGGGTGACTTCCATGGCCCTTTGAAAGGAAGGGCTCTCGTAGGTGTTCTGCTGAGGGAGCTGGGGAAGGCCCAGAAGTCTGCAGCTCTAGGGGAAGAGGTTGGCTCTGAGGAAGGCAGGCTGGGGCTCAGTGTTCTTGACCACTGGGGCACCCACTGCCTGCCTCTGTGCCTGCTCAGGTGAGCTGCAGTCTTTCCCCAGTACAATTCATTTACTTTCATTCCCAGCCCCTGGGAACCATTTGGGGGTGTGGCCCCTGCCAGAAGGTGTGAGCTGATAACTGCTTGGGGTGTTACCCCTCCCAGGGTGATTTGCACTTATTTACAATTGTCAAAGGCAGAAAGTCTCTGAAGACAGAAGGCAGGACTGAGTAACATCAATGATCAGAACTCCATGGATGGTGAGGGAATAAGGGATGTTCCAGGGTCTGGAAAACTGTGCATCATTCCTTGTGGGTACTGCTGGCCCTACGGGGCAGGGGTGGGAGTGGGACTGAGCGTGCCCTGGATTGTTAGGGATGAAGAGGGTGTGGCTTCAGGGCCACAGTTATTTCAGTCCTGGACCACCAGAGAGACCACCTCCCTGTACCTCAGCTGCTGGCTTGTGCAGAGCCTATCCTGTCTGTCCAGCTGCCTGCCCCACTGCCCTCCACACTGGCAGGTAACTGTGCACTGGCCCTTGCCTACCTTCTGTGGATGGTCTTCTGCCCAGAAGGCCCTGGTCCGCTTGTTCCAACTGATACCCTGGTGCTGGAGAGAGAAGAGGGCCAGAGAGAGGGAACAGAGGGAGGCTGCCTGGGGAATCAGGGAAGGCTGGGGCTGGGGCCCTGCACACGGAGTCACTTTTTAATCATCTGGGGGTTGAGGAAGCACCAAGGATTGGCTCATTCATTCACTGGTTCAATCACTGGTTCTTTCCCCCTCCTCCTCCATTCTCCCTTCTGCTTTTCCTTCACAAACACGCCTCTAATAGGCAGAAACTGCTGGGAGTTGGGATACAGAGGTGATGGCTGGCTCTGCCTAGTCACTGGGGGATTTCCACTTGGGGACACCAGCCATGTGACTCAGCAGGACGAACAGTACAGTGTGCTAAGGAGAGAAGCTCTGTCTGGGTAGGGGAGCCACTTGAGATGGGGTTGGGGCCAAGTCAGCAAGGCCAGCCCCACAGGATGAGGGGAGTCATGCCAGGGGACTGGACTTGATCCTGAGAGCACTGGGGGATGGTGGGTCCAGGTTGATTGGTTTTCTTATGATTTTGTTTTCCCTTTTTTTGCTCCAGGGTTTTAAGCAAGGTAACAGCCAGATTTACACTTTTAAGAGCCTTTTTAGATACAGAGGATTGAAGCTTTGAGCACTCCTTGGTGGTTGATTCATTTTTTCCAATTCCAGGCTTTAGATCCAAGGTAATTTTGAAATGTTGGCAGAACTAGATGCACCGCCATCTCCTCCTATCCCTGCAACCACTCCCTAGGCGTGTAGACCACCCCTCTAAGGAAACAACCAGAAAGACTAACATGTGGCCAAACCACACTGCTCCACCCTCCATGCAGCAAAGCCAGCCTGGCATGCTTCTGACCAGAGCACCTCCCTCACCTCCCTGATCTGTCAGTGGCCAGGACAGCTGGGGGCATGTTGAGGGCAAGGTCTGGGCAACATTTACCTGTTCTTTTCCCCAACTGGATTGGAGGTATTCCTGGAGAAGGAGAAAGGAGGAATAAGGATTACATTGCTTCCCTGGAGGGCTTGGTGAGGTGGGAACAGCTGTGGTCATTTAGGCACTGGTGCCCTGGTGGTCTTTAGTCAGCACGGTAGTCACTCCCATTATCCCGGAGTGGCAGTAGGAGTGTGCCTGGTAGGAGGTAGTGCCGAGCAGTGGGAAGTGCACAGACACTGGAGTCACTGGCATTGGGCACCAGCTGGGTGGGCATCCTTGGAAAAAGTACTTCACCTATCTTAGGTTAAGTTAGGTCTTAGTTTCCCTGCTGGTGATGAGGAGGATGCCGTGGAGACTGAATCACGTGTGAGCATACTAGGTGCTCGAGAAATATTTCTCTTATACCCCTATCCCTTGCTCCTCATGGATTGTTGGCCGTGGAAGAGA